CAGAAAAATCACAGAGCACATCTGAACCTTTAAAGGTCTCTGTGACAATTTAGCAGCAATTGGGAAGCCGGTTCCAGACCAAGAAAAGGTATTCTGTCTTCTCATTAGTCTTGGTCCACAATATGAAACATTCACAACAATCATGTTAAAACCTCCACGACCATCCTATTCTGAGTTGGTTTCTCAACTCCAAAATTATGATCAAAGACGAAATTGGTTTTCCAACCACACCGATGTTCAGGCATCAACACTCACGCGTCAAGTAGCATTTTATGGTCAACAACAACTACGTTCTCAATCAAACAACTCAGGATATTGTGGACCAGCACAAAATTTACGTCAACTGGACGTGAATTCCAAGCACAACAAAGCAAGGATTCAAGTCAAGCATACAACTTTTCTCCTACAAGTGCACAACGCTGACCTCCACCACCAGGTGAATGTCGCATGACACCTTCCAAAAGGGAGAAATATCGTGAATCAGCAATGTCAATATTGTGAAATGATGGGCCATATTGCGAAGATATGCCAGTGGGTACCAAAAAAATCAACTCCTTAAGATAAAATTCTACAAGCACTTGCAGCATTGACACTGGACAATATCATAGCATACACGGAATGGACTACCGACACTGGAGCTTCCAATCACATGACAGGTAAGTTAGGTATGTTAACTAACATTCATCATTACTCTGGTCCCGATTCAGTGTTAATAGGAGATAGATCTTCCATGTCAATTCTTGCAATTGGAGACTCTTATATAAAACATAAAAAATTAGCCTTACTTCTAAATGATGTGTTATTAATTCCTAATCTAAACAAGAATTTGCTCTCGGTAAGTTAGTTAACCACTCAGTTTCCTGTCAATTGTGAATTTTCTAATGTGGATTTTTGTGTTAAGGAACGGGATACAAGACAAGAAATGATGATAGGGAAATGCAAATGTGATCTCTATGTCCTATCCACTTCACCGAAACTTTATTTCTCTAATCGCTTCAAGTCTGGCATATCAGAAGTTTGGCATCAACGCCTATGCCACCCTCAATCTTCAGCTTTGCAAATATTAAAAAATAAAAGGTTAATTGATGTTGTAGGGACAAAAAAATCACAACATCTTTATGATAGTTGTCAACTAGAAAAGCTTAGTCGTTTACCTTTTTCTTGTTCGGAACATTCGAGTACAAGTATTTTTGAGAAAATTCATTGTGATTTGTGAGGACCTGCTCCTATTCTTTCTATTGCAAAATTCAGATATTTTGCTTGTTTGGTTGATGATTTTTCAAAGTTACATGGATTATTCCTTTAAGGCAAAAATTTGATTTTTTCAATGCATATCTAACCTTTGAAAAATATGTTGCTAGACAATTCAACAAGCAAATAAAAATCTTTCATTCTGATGGAGGAGGTGAGTTCGTTAATTCCAAGCTATCAACTCACTTTTTTTTTCACAGGCATTGTTCACCAAATATCAGCTCTATATACTCCCGAGCAAACTGGTATGGTTGAAAGACGACATAGAACTATAAGATAATTAGGTATGACTATGTTGTTTCATTGTGGTGCTCCTTTATTTTTATGGGTAGAAGTTTTTTTCACAGCGGTATATCTCATGAATCGACTACCTTCATCAACTCTCAATTTTGAAACCCCATATTTTGCATTGCACGAAAAACTTCCAGTTTATTCATCACTTCGCACCTTTGGATCTAAGTGTTTTCCCTACACTTGGGATACACGGCGTCACAAGTTTGATCCTAAAATGCTTCTTTGCATCTTTGTAGGCTACAGTGAAAAACATAAAACTTATAAATGTTTTCATCCATCAAGCAAAAAATTCTTTATCTCCCAACATGTTGTCTTTGATGAGCAAATTTTTCCTTATAAGCCTACAAATAATTCTTGTATGATAACGGCAAAGCCATTGACTATAAATATTTTTGACACTTGGTTACCACATACTGATATTCCTCTTTCTGCAGGGACACATTCGACCTCCTCCATAGCTCCATGTTTAAGTCCCTTACCACAACTTCAAGACACAACAACAATCCCACAAAATTCCATGTCACTCGAACCTTCACCACAGCCTCTCCTCAATGTAATACCTCAAACCACCACAGGAAATTTTGAAAATGATCTTCCTGAAATTGATGATAGCATTGACACATCTGAAAATCCATCATCACATAAGACACACACACTAGAAACCTTAGAAATACCAAAAATCATAACCCCACAACCAACAACCACATCAACAGGATCACCAAATCCAACACCAGCCCTTTCAGAAAACATACATACCATGGTCACTAGATCAAAACTAGGTGTGGTAAAATCCAACCCTAAGTATGCCTTGACCACAAATCACTGCTACCAATGTACCGCGTGAGTCACAATATCAAAACAGCCTTAGCACATCCTGGTTGGAAAGTAGCAATGAATGAAGAGCTTGCTGCTCTTCATCAAAACAAAACATGGAAACTTGTTCCTCGCACATCTAACATGAATGTTATTGGTTCAAAATGGGTATTCAAGTCAAAACTCAAGCTTGATTGGACTTTAGATCGACTCAAAGCGCGGTTGGTTGCAAAAGGATATCATCAAATTGATGGAGTAGACTACGTTGAAACTTTTTCTCTTGTGATCAAACCAGGAACAATCCAGATGATTATAACTATCGCTCTTGTTAAGCAGTGGTCTATTCGACAACTAGATGTAAAAAATGTCTTTTTGGATGACCTAATTTCTAAAGATCTTTATATGCAGCAACCACCAGGAATGGCAGATCCGGAACATCCAAAATATGTTTGTAAACTACAAAAAGCACTCTATGGGTTAAAACAAGCACTACGTGCTTGGTTTGATCGATTTAGTGTTTTTCTTCTTAAATTTTGTTTTTTTTTGTAGTTTAGCCGATCCTTCATTATTCATTTTTAACTCTGAATTTGGTTCACTAATCTTACTATTTTATGTGGATGACATATTGCTTGCAGGATCTACTCCAGAACTTGTTGAAAAATCATTACGTTATTAAGCAGTGAGTTCGCAATGAAAGATTGGGACCAATTCACCACTTTCTTGGCATGAAAATCATGACAACAAATACGGGGCTTCATCTATCTCAGTTCCACTACGCCCTTACCATACTTGAATGCTCCAATATGGTAGATTGCAAGCCAATGAGTACACCTCTTGAAGCTAAAACCAAAACTTCTTCTGAAATTCTCTTGGAAGACCCAAGTTACTATCGAGGTTTTGTTGGAGCATTACAATATCTTACACTCACTCGCCCAGATATTTCATTTAGTGTTAATTATATATCCCAATTCATGCATACTCCCACAATGACACACTTAAAAATGGTTCGACGTATCCTACGATATGTCAAAGGAACAATTGCAATGGGATTACATTTTTCTCACATAGTAGACTTGATCTTTTTGCTTTCTCAGATTGGGCAAGGTGTCCTACTACAAGACGGTCAACCATAGGTCACTGTACGTTCCTTTGAGGGAACCTCATCTCGTGGTGTGCAAAAAAGTAACATACTATTTCGTGATCAAGCATGGAAGTAGAGTACCGCGCCATCGCTAACACAACAGCCGAACTCACTTGGATGACATTTGTTCTCAAAGATCTTCGAGTTGCAATAACATCTCCTCTTATACTCTACTGTGACAACCTCAGTGCTCTTTTTATGACAGTTAACCCTGTATTCCATGCCCGAAGCAACACACAGAGTTTAATTATCATTTTGTACGTGAACGAGTTGCACGTGGACTGCTTATCACTTAACATATCTCCACTGATAACCAAGTTGTTGACCTCTTCACAAAGCCAATGTCAGAAGCAGCCTTCAATATTTCTAAAACAAAGTTTGAGGGAGGGTATTAGCAACAAACCACAACTCAACACACTCAACATTAGTGATAGTCAATGGAGCAATAGGGAAGCACAAGATTCTTGGAGAAAAAAAGGGGGAAGACTCTCACAATATTGCCGAAATCAGTGGAGAGACGTTGAAGGACATTAGAGCTCTAACGACAATAAGTTTAAACCAAAATAATGATCCAGCAAGTCCTAAAAATCAGGAAAAATCAGACCATTTGTAGCAGATTTTATGGGATTCATTTCATTGTATTACTTGTTTAAATACTCCTCTTGTAATTCCTAATGGTTCACGTTGCCATTTATTGAATAAGAGACATCAATTCAAACTTTCTTCTTCCTCTGTTTTTATCTTTTTTCTTCACTGTAGCTATACCGTATTCGAATCCATACCATCTTTTTCCGTTGTAAAAATGAAATTGGGTTTTTGCCGTTGAATTCAATTGTAACTTCATGGGCCAGTTGAGGCCTACAGAATAACTTGACCATGGACTAGCGGGCCGGGACGAGGCTTGTTTGCCCGCACCTTTCGAACGGTACAAAAGGATATTATAAGTTGGGCTAATTTCACTTGGTACCCTAAAAGATATTTTAAATTTTAATTTATACACAAAATATTAAAAATTTCAATTTATATCTTTAATATTATGAATTAGTAATAACGTGAATCTGATCCAGACTACGTTCAATTTTTTGTCATAAATTGAAGTACTTGAAATGCAAGTATTTTGAACATGAGAATAAAGTATGTCCATCAAAATATATCTTTGTGTATGATCGATCAATTGAATACCATTTTGTATACAAAAAATAAGATTTTATTACTTAGATAGATATCAATCCTATCATATGCAACTCACATCAAACTACCAATAGTTTGCGAATTTATATATAAATCTATATCCAAAACACTTACAACTTACATGCTTTAATTTATGATGAAAAGTTGAACGGTAATATGGGTGATGCGAGGTTCGCATTATTATTTATTCATAACATTGAGGGTATAAATTAAAATTTTTAATATTTGCGGGTACAAATTATAATTATAAACATTTTTAGGTGCAAATTGAGATTAGCCTTATAGGTCTCTCTCTCTCTCTCTCCGAGATCGAGCGTCAAACTGTAATTCAATTACCAGTTGTGCTCACTTTGCAATCGTATTTGGATATACAAGTTAATAGGTAAAATGAACTGCGAGGTGTGCCAACTCAAAGAACTGGTAAGCCTCTTTGAATTTATATCAATCAATTCTCAGTACTGGATTTGATTTTAAAGTGTAATCCGATTTTCCATGGAAATTTTGGCGTTTTCGTTCCTTTTTTGACCGTAACAAAGAATTTCCGATTCTCTGTTTCCGCTAATGGCTTCGTTCATCGATTTTGGAATTGCACTTGAACTTGTATGTAGGAAGTGGAGCACTTTGAGATACGGGAAGTTCTGCGATGTAAGTTAGTACGTGAAATTAGCTGCTTACTTCGGTTTGATTGATCGAATTATGTGACAAAGTAGCTTCTCTGTGCGTAGCTAATTTCTCCATGTTTGTTCACTGTTGGCTGCAATTTTTGCTTATTTGATGACTAATTGTTTTAATCTGGTGAATATTTGGGTTTATGAGATTTACGGCAGATTTAATTTGTTGGCTGGTTGTTTATCTCCCTGATATGTTAATCTGAATCCTTGAAGGATTGAACCCGAGTAGTGCGCCTTTATCTGATAGATCCTCGCCAAAATGTGTTATCACCTATGTCTTGATGGATAATCATCAAGATATTATACAATATTTAAACCTTTTTTAGTGGATTCGTTTCCCAAATTGGAACAAGAGCTATAAAAAAAATTGAATTATTTACAACACATGAACTTTAATCATGACAATGTCATATGAGTGTAAACTTCTTATCACCAATGATTGCTTGTTCAGATTAGTTTTTATGCAATGTGCTCAAATGATGTCTGTGATTGAGTGGAGAAACATTTGTCTACATTTTTCGACAATATGAACTTTCCAGTGATTTCCTTCAGTAATAGCTAAGAAGAATAAGAGTATTGATAACCAAACAAGAATGTTTGATTGCCCAAAGTCAGAGAACAGGTCATTTTAAGAACTATACTGATTTGGCATCTCTCCTTCAAGGCTTTAGCATGGCTGGTGGCATTATGATCAGTGGAGTAAGTGCAAGAGTTGTTTATGCAACAACTTTTATTTTAGTGGCAGAAGGATATTTTGCTTAGCTGATTGGCACATTTTTCGGTTTTGTTTAAAGAATATGTTTGCATATGTCAACTCAACTGAACAAGATGACTTAGAAAAAATGTTGATGGATTCGTACACAGTTTAGTTTGATGTTCTTCTCATTGTCTGTTTGCTTTTAAAATTTTGCACCCAGTTCCTATATATTTTTGACTGAGATTCATGTGTAATTCTATTGTATATTTTTAATTTTAAATGCCCTTCCACATATAATTTCAATTCTCTCTATCTGATGTTCAATTTCTCTCTACTGTTTGTTATATATGTATTTATTTATAAATATGTGATAATACTATTTTTTATGTTCACTTTTCTTTTCTCGACTTCGGTTGCTTTGCTAGTGCAAGTGTCATTTTTTTGGAGATAATATTGGGGGTTTATCGGAGAGGTAAATGCGGGTTGTGGATGCGAGATGGTATCTACGATCTAGAGGATGTGGTGATGGTAGTTTTGATATGGGTATTTGTTAGTGATGGGTGGGTCGTGGAGGTGATAGGTGTTAGTGGGTCCTGATAATTGGTAGTTTGAGGCATAAGAGGTGTACTGACTGATATTACTATTATGAAGATACAATAATTATGGGGAGAGAGAGAGAGTTGGCAAATTAAATGAGGGTATTACAGTGAAGAAAAATGTGTACGAAACAGGACATTGATATTTTTGTAAAAACTGTAATAGATGGATTTGTTGCACTCTAGTCACTAGTTCTAGAGGCTAAGAGATGGGCAGTCTAGGTTGTGAGCCTACTCGTTGCATGATTTGGTAAAGGATAGATGTATGCTGGTTTAGGTCCACCTGCATGATTTGGTGAGGAGTTGTTTTTATGATCCGAACCCATAATGCTCAAGTCACAATAGAACCATCTAGCAACTGCTCCAAAACTCACACTCAATTAAAGATGCCTAGTATTAATAAATAAAGTTTACAGCAGTAACGTGAAGCATAATATGATTATTTGCAACTAATCCTTATTTATATCGTGACTAAACTACTTGTGAATTTGGAATCCAGCATAATAGTGTTGTAATGTAATACTAGCCTCGTGAGGTTTCTACTACTATCATCACAACTATGATGTACATCATTTATTTTGAATAGAGGCCATAGGTTTGTGCATTATATTATACAAATTGCGAGTTTGATGTTTGTTCTTTTTCACTATGTTTCCCGGCGTTTCATTTACAGCTTCAAATCTCCTTCACTTGTGCTCCACATAGCATGATCTTATTATATTTGGTCAAAATGGTGCAGGTATTTTACACACAATATTATTCCATAGGGCATTAGGACTGGTGCGGCCCAAAGATGTTGATTTGGAACTTTTTGAAATTACATATGTAAGTACATACATACTTTCTTGAAATCATTTTAGATGTGATCATTTTTGAATGGTTACTAGTTTCTGGACATGAAATTTGTGGTACATGAAACCAGGGGTAAAGTTAGAAAATTGCAACAGTAGTCGGTAGGGGCAAATTGTAACAATAATCAGATAAAAAATGGAATAAATAATAAATGTCAAAACTTATGCACCATTTGGTAAATACTTTTTAAGGACTTTCTTACCTTTTCCCCCTTTTTAGTTATTTTTATACCGTTTGGTTTTGAATATATATATTTTCATTTTTTCTTTGTTTGGACTAACCGGTTCTCCTAAGCTCGCATGTATACACATGTGCTTATATAAATGTGCTATTTATATTATATTCTACAATTCATATAGATCCCTTTATGACATAGTAATCAAATGTGTTTTATTTAATGATGAAAATACTTATTTACTTTAAAAAACTACTAAAAAAACCACTGCCATATGGTAGTTTAAATATTGTTTTGCAATATATACTTTTACAAGTTTTCATATTTTAAACATTGCATTGTAATCTTCTGATCAATATTATTAAATATTTTTTCTCCGTATATTGAAATTAACTGCGGTGAGAAAAAGGGGGTGATATAAATAGGGGGAGAGAACAAAGAGTTTGGGATGATTTCTTGAAAAAATGTTGAGTGAATTAAATTAACTAAATATTAGTTTTCTTGGTCAATAACCAAATATTAGTTAAGTTTACTTAATTTGAATTTAGAGATTTAATATACATGTGAGAGATGATTAAGTGAATAAGATTAAGAATTATTTTGAGGGGCTGGTTTACAAATTTATTAGAATGTGTATAATTTTTTTTTGCACATAATAATTGAGTGGGGGTAGTTGCCTCCGATTGAGTTTCATATGGCTCCGCCACTGCATGAAGCTTAATAAAATCATATTTCTTTGATGGCAAGCAACTAAATGTTTGCATGGAATATAAAGAGAGCCTTCTATCTTTTACGTGTAATATGTTCTTTGTGGAAACTCCTTGAGGTTTATTGGCACGCAACCAAATTTTTGTGCCTTGAATTCAAATTAAAGAGTGCCTTACAGATGTAAAGAGTAGATATATCATTGGACTATATGTTATATATGATATGACGGCCTGAGAGATTTATGGAAGCTTGATCCAAGCATGACATGTACAAGGGCCACCTCCACAACAAAAAGCACAATTAACATTTCCTGCTTGCTGCACCCCCAACACCATCAGCAGACCTGGGTAACCACTTTCATCTAAATTGCCATCTGTGACACATCCGCTACAGCTGGGCCAGTCTTTATTAAGGGGACGAATGGGAAAAGATAATCCTAACTACTGTTCCATTGCGTACTTCTCCCTGACAATTAAGCTGGCCTCTTTTAATCACCATCAAAACTTAGCAAGCAACCTTGGCTTCTTGGAATGCACTTTGAATTCTAATCTTTGGAGCCCAGCTACAAGATGACTTCAGGATTGAAGTTTTTGGCTTGGTAACGTATAATTCAAGATTATGATGTCACTGAATCCCATAGATCCATCTAGAGTAACGGCAGAAGTATCTGTATTTCCATCACTAAAATGACAGTGGTTGTCACCTTTTATCATGTTTCATGGCTCAATTTACCCTTGTAGCCATCACCACCCTGTTGCATGCCCTGTCATGCAGTCACCACCTCTAACTGCAAACGCTACGGTTCCTCAGCTGGATGGTGTAAAATTTTGAACTTCACCTCCTCTCTACCAACTATGCTACTCTAGGCCATCGCCACTAGCACTGCCAAAAAATAGCAATCCAATTTTCATAACAGCGTCCTCTACTGCTCTACCAACCCCACCTTCATCTCTACCACACCAGCCTCCTACTAAATCTACACAACCACTGTCTAACCTTTATTGAAGTTGGGATTTTTGTACTAATATAATCACTGGTAATGTTTGTCTGATATTTTGAGCAATGTTACAAGTTTACATTATTGGTTCTTTGAAATGTTTTTAAATGTTTAATGGATTGCCAGCCTTAAATCTTAAAACCATTTATCTGTTTATGACAATCATTTCATTTAGAATGGAGCATTGTGAAGAAAATAAAATTGCTAATTTTTTCACTATGAAACTTGTCTCGAGTATGGTTTATTATGGCATTGGACTCAAGTCTATGTTTTTATGCAGTAAGTTTTCCTCCGAAACTCACCGCTTTATATTGAGAACTATCTACATGCCTCTAAATCTTAAGTTCATATTGAATTTTTGGGGAGTATGCTTGTTTTTTATCTGCAGCTCGGAATAAAATTGCTGTAAGGAATACATATGCACTTGTTGGAATGCATAATATAGAAACTGGTTTTTTGGGTGCCTAAACCAAATAAAAATATTGTAATTTCTGGTGGTTCTTAGTTAATGCTGTTTTAAGATCACTATTCCAATGTCTAACGTGGAACCTCTTTTTATTTCATTTAATGCTTAACCCAAGGTAGTCATTAGAGTGGTGACAGCCTATACTATTGCCATTTAATGCCTCAAATGTGTCATCGCATAGGTGCAATGTGGGGATATGGAACTTGAGAAGAAAATAGATGAGAAAATTGATCAGTTCATTGACAAGGTAGAGAAACACCCCAACAAGAAAAATCAGGTTTGTGGTTTGCCAGCAGTTTTAAGTTAGTATTTCATTTGGCTCACGAATTTTTTATACTAACACATGTATCCTGGGGCATTTATTAGAGTTGGCATATCATCTGATTAATTTAGAGGCTGTAAATGCTAACTTTTGAAGTTGCATCGTCTTCCTGTTAAGTTTCACTCCTGTTTTGTCTATCGTGGTGTTGTTGGACACCTTGTGTCTGCTTGGTTGTGTCATAATGCATGCCAGCATCACGATGATGGTGAAATTTGTTTCATGTGTTTTCATTATAGGTAGATCTTCAAATGAGACCAATAAAGATATTCACCTACAAATATAGGTCCCTTTCCCCTGATGCATTGATGTTTTACATTATGTAATGTCATTCAACTCCTAAAACTTCTTGCAAGGATGGCAATTCCTAATGTATGTCAGCTTGCCAGTAATCACGCAGGAAGAAAAGGATGATTGCCACTTGGGACATGTCAAGTGTTATATTTGCTAAAAATTGGCAGTGCTATCTTTTTCTCTTTAACTTTCGCAAATCTTTCTTGCTATTGAAGGTGTACTTTCATTTTGAAGGTGTCATTATCATTATTTGATTGTATTTTCTACCCTCTAGTGTAATTGATATATTATGCTTTTGCCAAATGTCTTAGATATAGCTATATCGATATTCTTTTTCTTTTGAACGGGTATCTATATCTATATATTTCTGGTATAGCTCACCTTGCGAAATATGTATTTTAGGAGCTGTTGTGCTTTATGCTGATGGTCTTCATTGAACATTTATGTCCGATCCATCAAGTTGGATGATACCCAAATATGAGTTCTTTATTCTGAATAGATCTGTTAATGATGCAGATCTGTTTGTCTTTCTATGAAGTGAAAAATAAACAGACATCATGGTTCAATAAAGTAGAACGCCTGCACTGGGAACAGTGGTATATAAATTTGAATGTGACACAGCATCCTAAAGCACATTCTGGCAAGGCTCATCATTCCAAAGTAGTTGTAGACCCAGGAGGTAAAATCGATGCTGAACCTTGCTCTATAATTATAGTGGTGGTGCACTGAAGGCTCCCATTAGCTTGTGCACTTCGGTTTTTTGTCCTGTTTTTCTTTCTGTCGTTTGAGAAGTGAGCTGATGCACTTATTTTTCGATCATTTCTCTAAATAACGGCAGAAAGTCCATCCGAGGATAGAAATGTGCACCGGGCAGCACTAGAAGCAACTCTTCGTGAGGTGTTGTTTCAGATAATCAAATTCGTGAATGAGAAGAAGGATCATGTTCCCCCAATACCAAGTCATGAGGGCATCTCATTTCCATATGAAATCACTATATCAAGGTGAGTAGCTGTTGTTGTATTTAATTCTTCACTCCCTGTTGCAACGTCCAGGTGATGCTTATTGTAATACACTTGTTGTTCAAGCATCAAGTGCAAACGTATGGAAGCAATCATTATTTGCTTCTCTTGTACAGATTTACAGCCTTTACCACTTGGTTTTTTCCTTTGTAATATTCTTTTTATAATGTGTTATAATATGTGTAAATGGCTTTGTTTTGAATGCTTTTAAGTAAGCCTGTGGCCTCCATTATGCCATTGGATTGATTAACCACTAAAAAAACCAAAATGTCGTCACGAGGGTTAAACAGCTTATCCTTTGTCATTTTCAATTTGTGAGGTGAACTTTGCCTCTTCTGGTTTGAGTGTGGCATAATTATAAATTTGCAAATCTTTTGAAAACAAGGGTCAGCAATCAAGGCAATGTTATATGCAATTTTTTTTAAAAAAAATTCTTTTCTTTGTACTATTTTTTGTAAAGAATGGTTGACTTTGTCTAATATGTTGAAGTACATTTTAATATTAACTTGAACTTTGAAATTATATGGTTGTCATCTGAAGGGCGATTGTCCTTTTTAGCCAGTTTGTCAATACAAGAGTGTTCAAATCCATGATGCAATTATCGGGTCACCAAATTTACTTCTCTTTCCAAGATCAAGTGAGGTCACCACTCATTGTTGATGAAGGCTTTTTTGCATCTTGATTCCCAAAAATATTTTAAATTCCATTTATATTGGTTAAGCAAGCTAGTGACTAAATGTTTTGTGGCCGAAGTGTGGGTCTCTGATATCAGACTCTGCAGTCTTTATGCACCACAGATGAAACGACAAATGTGTACTTCTTGGTCAGTTTGGATTGAATGATTCTTCCTATAGCTCTGATGTAAAGTTTCAATTGGGTGTTAATGCTAACAATCTCACAATTCCTATTATTACTCTATTCCTATTACTGCTCATGGTGATTATGATTTGTCAAATTAGTGTAAGCTACTCATGAGATTGGTAGGTTTAATAGTGTGCTGCCTTATTTAGTTCATCAGATTCTGCATTTGGGAAGGACCTGTTTAAGAGGATGCTCCAGACTGGGCATCCTACTATGCTCAGCTGATTATCGAAGCTTTCAAGGTGGAACGCGATTGTATATCCTCCTGAGGTAAAGTTGCTTCCGACTACTCAGAATGGATATACTGTATCCTGGTAACTCTCTGCAGAAGATTAGCATCCGAGATGAGCAGAAGCATTTGATTCTGTTAAACTTGTTTATGTGTACATATTTATAAGCATTTTCCTAGGGTATTCCTCTGTTTCCATTTTTTTACTTGCTCACTGTTCCTCTTGCTTTGGTCTCTTTTGGTGGTGCTTGGGTTTGCTCATGAACTGCCTGAATGCCATGTCTTTTATCAGTGAACACGAGATTCATGTTTCATATATATCCACATTGCTTTTTTTTAGGGGTGGAACTTGAGCGGGCTAATTCGAACCCAGCCTGAAAAAATATGGCTAATCCGAACCCAACTTGTCAGTGTTGCACCCTTACGTTTTTCTTTTATATCCACATTGTTTATGGTATGTAGTAACATGGATTGTCAGCGCCAATATTTTATTACTGGATTGATTACACACCAAAAAAATTCCTTCCAATACAAATTTGTGTATCTTGACCTAATTTGTTAATTTGATAATGTGATAGCAATATGATTTAATAATATTGTTGTGATTAAAACTCTTAAGACTTTTTTGCAAGGATTTTATCATTTAATACGTCATTATGTCAGTTTTTTACGTCTAAATAGCGTTACCAATAAAAAATAAAAACCCAAACCCAAAAAACCAGATGGAGAAAAACCACCGCGACCACAAAGGAAATGAATCAATCGGGAAAATGGGCATGTTGTGATATTTATACGCATCTCTCTTTCAAAATTATATATATATATATATATATATATATATATATGATTTTTTCTAACCCCAACAATAAACGAACAATAAGGAGTTTCTTTCTGTCCATTCAAATTGCTCTAGTAATGACAACATGAAACCTCCTGCCAAATATATTGGCAGGGGTGGGGAGAACTCTCTTGAAAGAGACATGGTCCTAATACAACGAGTGTGTTGTTGACTTTCATATATCTTCTAAGTTAGTGTTATGATCAAGGTCTAAGTTTTAACTATCACAAAAGAAATTCAATGTTTTCATGGTTGTATTCGTGGGATTGTTTTTAGGGTAAATTTTACTGATATTCTATAGATTTAAGTTATATTTTACCGACACTCCCTTTAGTTTTGAAATATCATTGCATATTTTTGTTTCCTAATAAAATATATAATTTTACTAAATTACCTTTACTAGAACTCTTATTTTACTTAATTACCATTATTAAAATTAAACTAATTTTATATGGACAAGGATAAATTTAGAAATTTATCCAAGAATAAACTATTATATCACACTAAGTTTATATAAATTAAAGGAGTATACAATAATATTTTAAATAATAGAGAAAGTGTCAATAAAATATAATTTAAATTTACAAGGTGCCAATGAAATTTTAGTAATACTATTTGAACCTAAACTAGCAAGATGGGGACTTGCTATGGGCTATACTGGAACATTGCAATCTGACCAACTGCCAATCTCAACAAAGAATCAAGTAGAGTTGGATGCATGCCCCCATAGACTAGCTTAGAATTACTGTTTTTAAACTACCGTCTTTAATTTACTGTGTTGCTCTCTTATATCTCAATTTTTAATAGAAAAAAAAATTGACTTAATTTATTGACATAATGATGTGATTTCAGGAGAATAATTGGATCAACACTAAGTTTCAATGTTTGATAGTCTCCACAGTCAATCCAAAAATCGTAATAAATTAAATCAATAAATTAAGTTCCAATAAAATTACTGATCAAATTTACATGGAAAGGAGGAGTCTTTAAGCAATCCAAGGATGACTCGGTGGGCTCCATAGTCCGTGGGGTAAGGAGTTCATACGACGACAATTTAATATAATTGATTCTCGCAGTTTCTTTTCTGCAAAAGAGCACGCATGACAACAAAATTAAAAAGTAGTTCAGTAAATGCGGACTTTGTTAGAGAAAGTTATTTCGACATTTATATAATAAAATAGAGTAGAATTTGAATTTTGAAATTTATCTTAAATTTTTTATAGTTCAAATAAATTTTGAATAAAAGATAAATCATATTTAAAGGTCTATCTTATTTCTAATTTTTTATGGCTCATATTAACTCAAAAAAATTGATTTAACGGATTAAATTGACAGGCAAATTTTATTTTTTCGCTTGAGACAACTTTTATTTTTAATTATTCCAAATTAATGCTCTTTCGTTTACACATTTCATTCCATTTATATATTCCATTCACGGCTCCCGACTTTCATATTCCCTCGTCCATTCAGAGGTAAAATCTCCCACCAAATTAAACACATTTTTTTTTCCCCAAAATATACATACGTTAATTCATTCACTCTTTCTATGGTAAGTGATTTATTTTCTTTAGTATTTGGATCTTTATCTTTTGAATTATACATTGACAATTTTTAAATTCATTACTGATGAACTGAAGTGACACATTTGATTTTAGCATTTTATTAAAGCTATTTTTTTTAATGTATGATTTCATTGAGTGAGTGAATAATTTTTTTGTATTGTATAACTTTAATTTTTGGATTAACGCAAACAGTATAGAATTTTAATTTTTTAATACAAAGATAATGAGACATAATAGTTTGAGTTTGGAGAATATTGGATGTTAGATAGTAAGTAAATAAGTTCCACAAGTAAAATATATTAAAAAATAAAAACGTAAACTATTGTCGGTACTCCATTCAATTTTCCATGAAAAATAGAGTTTTACAAATTATTCCCAGGGTGAAAGAGTATTTTGGAAAGGTTTATATTATCAAAGACCGTAGCGTGAGTAATTTTTTTGAAAAATAAAAATTTGTATTATTTATTATTTTGATTATACAAATTGTATATGCAAATTGATATTGTTCAAGAATTGTGTTTTTAGAGTTTATTTTATCAATATATTTTTTTTGAATAGTGGGGTTTATATTGATTGGTACTATGTGTTATATATTTTTTTCAAGTGAATTTTTTTTTTTGGAATACTGTCTTTAAACACGGACAATAACTAGTACTCTTATTGGGCTCAACGATCTCTTTTTTTATTTTTCAAAAAATGATCTTGGAGCTTGTGTAATGCTTACTCTCAAACTCTTCGTTTACACAGTAGTGATATTCTTTGTTTCTCGTCGCTAGTGGGTACCTCCTCCATAGGAAGTGTTCACTTATATGGCAGGGGGGAAGACGACTCTCTTCCGATGTGGGATTGCCTTAGGAAAGGGCTCTATTGGCGAAGAGAGGTAAAGGCTACTGGGGCTCGGTGCCGCCAGGTCAGCCGGAATCCTTCAAGTAGAGGGATGAGATCCGTAGCGATTTACCCCTTACAAAAAGGCGCCTTTCTGTAAGGGGTAGAACTCTCTACTAAGGATTTCGGCTTGACCTGGGTTAACCCACGCGGGCGACCCCCCAGTAGCCTTTACCTCTCAGTGCCCGCAGGAGCTTCGTCCCACATCGACTGAGAGTCGTCTCCCCCCCTCGCATATAAGCTCTTGCACTCAAAGGAGGAGGTACCCACTAGGCAGGGCTTATATGCGAGGGGGGGAGACGACTCTCAGTCGATGTGGGACGAAGCTCCTGCGGGCACTGAGAGGTAAAGGCTACTGGGGGGTCGCCCGCGTGGGTTAACCCAGGTCAAGTCGAAATCCTTAGTAGAGGGTTCTACCCCTTACAAATACAAAGAGTATAACATATTAATAATCAATCATAGATCAAATAGGAATTTATCTACCATATAAACAATCAACCACATTTGACATAACAATTTTTGCAACAATATATTATATCTAAGGCAATTCAATCCTAAAAAGAATATTCATAAGTTTAGCAAACAACAAAAACAAAGTAAAACAATAATTGAACTGTATGAATATACTATACACAAAGTAATGTCCACAACCCCTTTGCTACTTTATTAATATACTATTTTGCTGATCGCCAACTAATTTAATATTCACACGAGTGCGTAGCTAAATCAGAGTGGGCTTTGACGTAGTGCTAAAAACTTCAGGCAATTGTTCAACTTGCTGTCATATGTGCATAGACAGCATGATGTTGTACAATGAGGTGAAAGATACCTACCAATTTGCCTCCAGGCTGAATTCTTCAATTAATCAGTCCGGTCCAAGAATTTCCATAAATACGGCGTGAACCTAAAATATGTAGCATATTCAAATGGAACTGTAGGTCTTAGAGATAAAAAGATGCAAGGCAACCAGCAATAGTGGACCTGTCTATTACCAAAAGCATCGTTCACTTGCGTCTCTGCGCTGTAATAAGAAAGGAAACACGTAAGCCTCAGGAATTTCACTCATTTAATCGATGCCGTATTTGAAGTGGGCAAATAAAAAAGAGCAAATGTTAGCGAAATAACTTCAACATATTAGAAGATTTTGAACGTGTATTCACTCTCCTTAAGGAAATTATGTCTCCTTAAGAAAATTATGCATCCATTATGTTGTTGTTGGATTTATGACAAATTTCTCTAAGATTAACAAAGTGAAACAGAATTTTAGATAGTAAACTCTAAAATTCTCTCAAGAACAAAACAGAGAAACATTATCTTTTTATTGAAAGATCTGTACAGGTATTTATAATATCTTAAAGATGTAATAGGGAGACACAACTCTTGGGCTAAGAGACATTAATTAATCCAAAAATAATTAATCAGTTATAGAGTTCAAGCCCAAGATGTCCCAAGTGCCCATCTTTTGACTTTAAATATTATTTTATTTAAAACCTAATCAAAGCTCATTGATTTGAAATATTTGGAGCTTCTTCCAACTTTTTTCACCATCCAAATTTATAAAATTTAGTCTGTTTCTCCTTTTAAACTTTTACGCTTCCTTTTTTACTTTTCTAATGTGAATACCTTAGATTACTAATTATTTCTATCAGAAAATTCCAGAGTTGGGCAGTTTCATGGCCCATTCTACAAGGGGATTTTGTGTGATATATCCGCTTACAGCAATACATTAATAGAGTATATGTCAGCAAAAAAATAGAGACAGGGGGGTTGGGTGGGTTGGTTATCATGTCTCTAAATTAACATAAGCTAGTATATCAAAGTGCATGAAGTGCTCCTGCCACTCTGTCACTAAATACTCAAGAAGAATCATCACTTAAATTCAGCAACCACATGATACCTAAGATGATGTCACAGTAAAAGCGAAAGCCAATGAAGGCATACTCCTGTATACCCACTCTATTTCAAACACCAAAGACAAAGAAACCTCCAAACATGTTCTAAGACGTGACATTATTTTCACAAAGAAGGCATTATATCCAGTAAATGTAAGGTGCTTTAGGAATCACACTAATTACAACTGACACGGGTTGCACAGTTCTCCTTGGCATTTTACCTGCCGCCATGATTGGGCATGCATAGAATTTGATATATAAATATACATCAAAGAGAAGAAACTAACAACATAGCATAGAA